AACTCCACCAAAACCTACATAAATCAATGACGAAGGACGAAAGGTTGTGAATGATGTTGATAGTAAACAAACTTTGACAGATCTATAAGATGAATAAGCAAACAGTCGCTAACTAAACTGATCTAGGAACAAACACAGTGGCACTACAACAACACTAAGACTATGCTCTGCTTTTCACAATAAAAACAACTAGACTCATCTAGTTTGTACAATTATATCATTGGATTGAGCCAAATGAATTCATAAGTAGTTGAAGCTATGCTATGACTTGATATCTACTCCAACACTTTACATTGTGACAATTGTTGAGATTTTTTGTTTATGCATTTTTTAGTATTCTTTTTCAATGTTCCTTAGACTAGGGTTAAGGGTTTGGGCTGAGGCCCATATCCTTTTTATTGTACATCTTTTTTTCCATAAATATAATGTATTAGTGCCTTTGGTCATTGCATCAAACCCTAAATAAGTTTTCTCAAGTTGGTATCATGGTAGGAAAGATCCCGCACTGATTTTCGGTCACCTTTGTTAGCTCCGGCTACTGTTAGTCGTCGTCTGCCATTGTCACTACCAGTCACCGTCTCCATTTGGACCGATGAGGGAGGGGTTTTGCTCGTCTCGAGGAGCGCGACCCACCCCCGCAAATCACTCTTCCGTCAGCTGTCCCATGCGTCGTCACTCTTGGTTATCCCACGCACTGCCTTCCAGTGGGCGGAATCAAGGCCGACCACCTCCATTCGATTTGTCGACGTCCTCCAAGTCCAATGGTGCCCTTAGTTTTTGGGTTTGAGAACTGTGTGTGAAAAGCCCCGTGGGTAACCCTATTCGTTGGCTTTATTCATCTTTTCTGGTTCAGATGACTTCATCCTCTGCCTTCACCTTCTCTGTTACTCCCACCATAACTAGTGTCAGACTCAACTGGAAAAATTACTTATCCTGGTCAAGGACATCACAACCATTTGAAGAAGGATGTAAACTCCATTTCCGCTGCAGAGAGGTCTCAATGGGAGATAATAGACTTTCAACTTTGTGCAATCTTATGACATTATGTGGAATCGGATGTTCTTTAACTTCTCAGGTCATTCAAAACCTGTTCTTCTTTTTGGAAAAAAAGCTCAAGACATTTTTGCTAATAATATTCAACGTCTCTTCGATGCAACTCAAAGAGTGACGTCACTTATGCAGACCAATCACGACATGTTGGCTCACATCGCAAAAGCTAGGGCAGTTGTGGAAGAATTAAAAAGGTTTCTTGTTGCAAATACCTTAGAGGAGTTAAACACGAAACTCGATAAGCTATATATGATTCTAATTTTGAGAAGTTTGCATTCCGACTTTGATAACGTGCGTGATCAAATCTTAACTGGCGATCATGTTCTATCAATGGATAATCTTGTCACTAGGTTGATTCCCTAATCTCATGATTGATGAGAATCATGTGGAGATTGTTGAAACTTCTGCTATGGTTGCCCCTCGGGGTCGAGGGGGAGGACGCAACAACCGAGGTAGATGTGGTAGTTTGAAAGTTCGTTCTCAATGCACCTATTGTAAGAGGATGGGACACACGCAAGAAAATTGTTATTCCTTGCATGACTTTCCTGATAAGATTGCCCATGCATCTAAATTGGAGAAGCCAGATATGAAGATTTCTGATGAGGAGTATCAGAAGTTTTCGAAGTTCAAATTTAAAAAGTTTAACCGTCAGGATCAAACCTCTTCAATGCCAAGTGTTTTAACTGCATGCATTTCTCAATCTATGTATATCTAGTAATAATTCATCTTTTTTCTTCATGTCCTATCCTAAAATTCCTTACTTAATCACTGTAACTAATGGATCCAAAGTGAAATCTCAAGGTGTTGGCCAAGTTCCTTTTAACCCCATCTCTAAATTTAAATTCTGTTCTTTTCATTCTTAATTGCCCTTATAACTTGATCTCTTAAAGTCAACTTACTCGTTCTTTGAATTGTTCTGTAACCTTTACTTCCAATTCTTTTGTTATTTTGGAACATGGTACGAGTTGTCTGATTGGAGAAGGACATGAATCACGTGGTCTATACTATCTAAACCAAGTCCTTCGGTGTCTTGTCTGGTTCCTCCTGCCCCTAAACTTTTGCATGATCGTTTAGGTCACCCAAGTCTATCTAAATTGAAAGTGATGACTCCTAATCTTCAAGTTTTGGAGTGTGAATCTTGTTAATCAGGAAAACATGTTAGGTCTACTTTTCCTAAACAGTCTGAAACTCGATGTAATTTTTCTTTTTCAAATATTCATCCTGATATTTGGGGACCAAGTCGTGTTTCCTCTTTTGGCTTTCGTTATTTTGTAACCTTTATTGATGAATTTTCTAGATGTACTTGGGTTTATTTGATGAAAGACAGATCTGAACTTTTGTCCATTTTTGTGTCCTTTTTTAATGAAATTAAAAATCAATTTGGAAAGATAATTAAAGTTCTCAGAAGTGATAATGCCAAAAAATATTTCTCTGCCTCCTTTTCTTCTTTTTTATCTTCCCAAGGAATTTTACATCAATCAATTTGTTCTTACACCCCACAACAAAATGGCATTGCAGAAAGGAAAAATAGATACCTCATTGAGACTGCACGCTCTCTAATGTTGAATGCTAATGTTCTTGTTCATTATTAGGGAGATGCAGTTCTCATTACTTGTTTTTTGTTTAATCGGATGCCATCTTTCTCTCTTAAAAATCAAATTCCACATTCTCTTAACTTCCCAGATGATCTTCTTTTATATGTATCTCCAGTAGCTAAGATTTCCACTATTTGTCTTTTCCTGTCTTTTCCGTGCTATGGATACGATTCGCCATTGACCCCTTCACCAACTGGACATTAAAAATGCATTTTTTCATGGTGACCTTGAAGAAGAAATTTATTTGGAGCAACCTCCTGGCTTTGTTGCTCAGGAGGAGTCTGGTTTATTGTGCAAGTTACACCGATCTCTTTATGGCTTGAAGTAGTCGCCCCGAGCTTGGTTTGGAAAATTCAGTCATGTTGTGCAGTTGTTTGGCATGAAAAGGAGTGAAGCAGACCACTCAGTGTTTTATTGTCATTCCTCTTCAGGCAAGTGTGAGTATCTTATGATTTATGTTGATGATATTGTTATTACAGAAAATGATTATACTAATATCAACCAATTGAAGAATCATCTGTTTGCTCACTTCCAGATCAAAGATCTTGGTCAATCGAAATACTTTCTTGGTATTGAAGTGACCCAATCAAAAGAAGGTGTGGTTATCTCTCAAAGGAAGTATGTTCTTGATATTCTGAAGGAGATTGGTCTAACAAATTGTAAGCCCATTGATACCCCAATGGACCCTGACCAGAAATTGATGAAGTATGAAGGAGAAAAGTTGTCAGATCTAGAGAGATATAGGAGGTTGGTTGGTAAACTCATATATCTTACTATTACCAGACCGGATGTTTCTTATGCAGTTGGAGTAGTTAGCCAATTCATGTAAAATCCTTGTGTTGATCACTAGGCTGCCTTGATTCGCATTCTGAGATATATTAAAGACAAGGAATGTTATATGAAGATAAAGGTAACACTCAAATTCTTGGTTATTGTGATGCAAACAAAGGAAGGTGCGGTTATCTCTCAAAGGAAGTATGTTCTTGATATTCTGAAGGAGATTGGTCTAACAAATTGTAAGCCCATTGATACCCCAATGGACCCTGACCAGAAATTGATGAAGTATGAAGGAGAAAAGTTGTCAGATCTAGAAAGATATATTGGTTGGTAAACTCATATATCTTACTATTACCAGACCGGATCTTTCTTATGCAGTTGGAGTAGTTAGCCAATTCATGCAAAATCCTTGTGTTGATCACTAGGCTGCCTTGATTCGCATTCTGAGATATATTAAAGACAAGGAATGTTATATGAAGATAAAGGTAACACTCAAATTCTTGGTTATTGTGATGCAAACTGGGCTGGTTGTCCAATTGATAGAAGATCGACTACTGGGTATTGTATCTTTATTAGAGGAAATTTGATTTCTTGGAAAAGTAAAAAGCAAAATGTTGTTGCTCGATCTAGTGCAGAAACTGAGTATAAATCTATGACACTTGCTACATGTGAACTTGTGTGGATCAAACAACTCCTTCAAAATTTAAAATTTTGTGATATTGGACAAATGAAGTTATTGTGTGATAATCAGGCAGCTCTCTATATTGCCTCCAACCCAGTCTTTCACAAAAGAACAAAACATATTGAGATTGATTGTCGTTTTGTTAGAGAGAAGTTGTTGTCTAAGGAACTTGTAACTGAATTTGTAAGCTCCAATAAGCAACAAATATTTTAACTAAATCCTTAAGAGGAATTAGGATTCAATTCATTTGTTCCAAGCTTGGTACATACAATTTGTATGCTCCAGCTTGTGGGGGAGTGTTGAGATTTGTTGTTTATATATCTTTTAATATTCTTTTTCAATGTTCCTTACACTAGGGTTAAGGGTTTGAGCTAAGACCCATATCCTCTCTATTGTACCCCTTTTTTTCTATAAATACAATGTATCAGTGCCTTTGGTCACTGCATCAAACCCTAAATAAGTTTTCTCAAGTACAAATTTACTTTTTTCTTTTCCAACATATCAAGTTATCTCCAATGAATACCCAATATCCAACAAATGATCTCCTATCAACAAGGAAACAAACCAAATCACCATTTAAATATCCAACTATCTAATGGGGTCTAGGGTATTATGGAGTGTCTATGTGTAACAGCAAGTAGTATGAAATGTTTGATGGAGTACTTTAATGCTGTATGACCTTTATCCTAATTGATAATAACTTTTCGTGTCCGTCCAATCTACATCAGGTTCAAGGTATGAATTAATTAATGCATTCTAATGATGTGAAAAATCTGCTCAAAGGATACATGAAGGGAGGATTTGATAATGCTGCATTTATGGGTATCAATTTTGTCCACAGGGTGATTGCTGATAGCCGTACAGACACTGGTATGGGATGGTCTATGTAATCTTACCCAGCCAAGGATTGAATGGCAGATTAGAAAATGCTGCATATCTGGCTATCAATTTTGATCCACATAAGGCGTCCGCTAATATTCATAGAGTCAGTGTTGGTGGTAACATGGTCTATGTAAATCTTACCTAGTATGGCATTGGATACACAAGCCTACGTCCTTTGCTCCCATCCAATCCAACTTTTCAAGTTGAGAGGAGTACACTGTAAAAGATTGAGAGTAGAAGACTTAGTTTCAGGATGCCTTTGGAACCATCTGATGGTGCATATACAGCCCACGGTCACAGTGGGTAGCCGAACAAAAAACCAAAAGCACCTTTCAAAGGGACACATTGAAGGAAAGATTGAATGGCAGAGAGTACCACAGATCCAGTAGAGGACAATGAGATGAATACAGCAAGTGGAGGAGACTCTCCAATGTCAGTACCAACTTGTGGGTGTGCATGGCATTTCCAGTGGAAAGGTTTCAGTAAGAATATAACTGATGTGAATGAAATAAAGACAGGTTGCGGTGACTATACATAGGGCAACAAATGACGATGGTGGAGTATCAGTGGTGGCAGCTGGCAGAAGGTATGAAAATGCCACAATGAAAACACAGCAATGAGGGTGGTGGTGGGGAGAAACTGGAAACGAGAAATAGCCTTATAAAAACGAAATCCACTAGGTATACATGGTCTGGAATCTCTTTGACAAAAAAAAAAAATATATATATATATATATAATAATAACAATAATAATAATAATAATAAATTGATCATTATTGCTTACCAATTGTTTTTTGCAGAATAATAACAAAGGTCCATGGTTACGTCTAGCTTTTTCGAACCATGACTGCACTAAATACATATGGTAGTCATAGAACACATACTAATAAGTTGAGCCCAGTCAACTTATTGCCTGGAAAACTTGCTTCCAAGATTTTATTTAGGATCTCTTCCCACGTGGTTTCCTAGCAAGAGATAATCTCTATCAACACCAACCAAGCTCCCGTAGCTGCCTTTATCTTAATCTTACTGATTCACATAAGCCCCCTTTTCTCTCACTCATACCAACACACTTTATTAGAAAAAGGCATTAAATAAGATATAGGGAGGGAATTAACAATTGCATAAGGATATACACATATACTAGGGATGGAAAATTTTGGGAGGCTCAAGTTTTCAGTGGCATCAGAAACAGATATAGCAGTGAGTTTTGACTTTTGAGTCAAAGTAAAAGTTGGGACAGACGAAAGAAACCAGTCTGTAGTCCACCTAGTACGTGACATGGTTACCAAAACTGCTCTATCCCTTGTCTATGATGAAGGGGCACTTTTCATGGTATGAAACACCTTTAGACACTTCCTTGATCCAAAACCATGCAAGTCATACAGTTAATTCCCAATATGATAGGGATTTAATCTTGGTGCAGTCCTGCCATTAAGCAGCATAACCACACTTGAGCAACATGTTATATTGTCCCTTACTGACGGTTGAGTCAGCCTGGCATGAATCTGGTTGTGCATCAAACTTCCCTCTGAATCAACAACGTACATGACTCTAATTAAATTAACATTAGCATAATAAAACGAGATTTTTTTTTCTCTAAACTCATTGTATTACCTGCCGAGGAATTAAAGTAGTTCGTAAGTAAGCACAATAACAAGAAGTCTAGCCAATCAAAAGCTATAATAATAATAATGATAATAATAATAATAATAATAATAATAATAATAATAATAATAATAATAAAGGCAACAAAATCCATGCTAAAGTTATTTTAATATTATCTCCAGATTTAAACAATTGTACCAGTGGTTACTGGCATGGAACTCATCCATCCTTAAAAATAGAAAAATTCTAACTTAATCCCTAGAAATCACAAATGTCAGTCACATTGGCCCTTTCTAACGACTAAAGCAAAACGTCTCATGCTTATAAACTACAGCATTATTTGGATTAATTTCTCCATACAACTAACAAAAAAAGAAAATACAGAAGTAAAATGAATCAAATTTCTTCCATAAGAAAAATCAATTTATGCTCCTAAGTCCTCAGCATTTGAAGCAGTTGTACAAATGAGCTTCTGTAAAAATTAAAATGCATAAGTTGATTTTAACTTATGAATGACAAGTTTAGTTAATTTGATCTACTTCCTCTAAAAGAAGTAACTCGCTTTAGAGAGTAAAGGAAGGAACTACAGTTGTGGATAAGAAAGAAAAATCAACCAGTGATATTTCAAGACAATCGTGATTTGCATGAAAGTACAACAACATCAACTGTCATCTATCATCAACTACCAAAATTACTTACGTTTACCCTTTAGAGTGAATCAGTAAATTTAGAGTCCAAATCCATCAAACCTTCTTGTTTTCTTCTCTTATAAGTGCTTCCAGAGATAAGTTTATCTAAATAGAGCCTAAGTGAGTTAATCTATATAGAGTCCCAATCCGTTATACCTTCTTATTTTCTTCTCTTTGAAGTATAAGTACTTCCATGGAGAAGTTTATCCAGACAGTGACCAATTCGATCGATATTTGTGATTGTTTTGGACTAACTAATGATTTTGTATTATTAGGGACAACTATTTCCCACCAAGCTTCTGAGCCACGGATCTGGGGTTTCACTTCCAAGAACGAAGCTGTTACACGTATCGCCCAACAGACAAAACCAAAGGAACATTACATTATTCTCTCAGCATAATTAAAATCATCTATGCACTTCAATTATATATAAAACACATGAAGTAAAAAATTAGGCATGTGAAGAGATTGAAGTGGCTTTCTTACACGCTGAAGGTGCCGGAAACGGTGTCGTTGGCGGACCTGACGGCGGATTCAAGATCGAAGGAGAGGCCCAAATTGGAGGCGTCCTGGGAGGATTGGGCCGCGTAGGAATTCCAATCGGCGAGTAACGACGAGGCAGGCTTCGCCTCCTCCTCAGCACCGCCGGAGAACCACCCCTGCATTTTGGTCGCCGATTCCGCAACTACAACTTCGAGCGATCGCTGGTTGAAGGGAGAAAAGAGGGAAATGGAATGAATGAGAGGGTTTGTGGATTTAAACTGATGCGTGCTGAGTGCCTCCTGTTGTGCAATGAATGAATTGAAGAGCTCGGTGCTGCTTCTGCTCTGTATTGATGAAATCACCAGTGGATTGCTACGCTAGGATACCACCCTTCTTCTCTCTCTTTTAATTTAATTTAACTGAATTTGTATTTTATGTAAAAAAATTTATAATATATATATATATATAGTCTTATTTTTTTTATTATAAAATTACTTTTAAAAGTGGTTTTTCTTCATTTTATTTTATTAAAAAAGTCCTCAATTTTTAAAAGCTTTTCCTTTTAAAAGTTAAATAAATAAAATTTGAAAAAAGGATTATACCTCTATTTCTCAAAATTAAGTGAATTTAGCTATTACTTTCCATCAATAAGTCATTTTAATATGTTAAAATAACGAGAATCTATTGAAATGTTTAATACATCAATATATTAAAATAATTTTTAATCCATTAAATGTCAAATAAAGCTAAAATATTTTTAAATAAGTAGATAATATCATATCTATCCAATTTACTTTTAATAACGTATAAATGTCTGTTTTAAAACTATAAAAGATATAAGTTTCATTTAGCATAAACAAATACATTTTCTCCTTATTTTTAAATTAAGAATACTTCATTTAATAAAAAAGAATTGAAAAGTCAAAATCACGTACAATTTAAATTAAACGACAAAATATTTCATATTATTCTAATTTTATAAAACCTTAAACTCTTTGAGTGATAGAATTTCTTTATGAAATATCTCCTTTGAAGATGATGACGTGATAAGTACCCTATTTTAGTATCTCAAATTCAAGTCCCTCAAATATTATAATTGTAGGATTTTAATCCATTTGTTAATTGAAATTTATTGATATGTAATTGACTTAGGACATATTTAATATACTAAATTTATATAATTATGACATCTGAATTAATTAACATAATGAAAAAAAGATTAAAATTGTACATTTTCTATATTTAAAAAATTCAAATGAGACAATTAAAACCTAAAAAGGTATCATTAAAATGATGAAAGAGTCATGGTATAATTAAGAAAAAAACTAATTAGTTAAAAGGTGGAGGGTTCAAAATTTTCAAGAGTTGAACTTCGAAAACCAGAGGCTCTTGTGCATGAGAAAAAAGGCTGCGACGAGGGCCAAACTGCAATTAACAAAAACACAATTTGGAATCTACTGTAATCAAATATAACTATAGAGAATTTACATTAGCAGTTAAGAGAATATCTAACAATCTAACCTCTTTAGGTATTGGTTTTAAGTTCTCGTTTACATATCCTGCTCGAAGGTGGAATCAGTGCTCTTCTCTTTCCTAAAAGTACAAGTAAATGCCACAAAAGAATAACTAGAATGGTAGTATCAAAGAATAAATTATTTATTTACTCAAAATTATGTTAGAAACATATAGATAGATTGCATGCCAAAGTTTGGAGTAGAATGTATATAACAAATTCATGAGGAAATACTAGTGAGCCAGGAAAATAATGAGAATATCTAGGAACATACCACCAACTCTCATGCCATTGAGAACCTCCTTTAAGCCCCCTATCATCTACATAAAAATGCAATGCAATTAGTATAATAAGACTTCTTAACTATGAATTATTTACAAAAGGACAAGAAGCATGAATTGGAATGTCATCAACCGTGGCGGATCTTCTTGGAAGCTGAGGGGGTCGTGGTCCCCTTAAAGTTTTGTAACTCTCATGTAATTTATGATTTTGGCCCCTCCCCCCCCAAAACTTAATGAACATTTATTATATTTACTTGTATATTTACAATTTTATCCTCTCAGCCCTTCCTTAGTTTTGTAACTCTCATATAATTTATGATTTTGTCTCCCTCAAACTTAATGATCATTTAATATATTTAAGTATATATCTACAATTTTATCCTTTCACTCTTTCATCTTCTTTCTTCCTTTTATATTTATTTATTATTTATTAATAATATATTATTTGACCCCCTCAATATCAATGGTCAAGATCCTGGTGATTAATAGAATCTCTTTATGACTGTGGTCATATGTTAATTGGCCAAGTTGTTAGAGTGCAGAAAAATAACATAGCCATAGAATATCCGAAGTCAGAGCTGAATTTTGTGGTTAATGGAATACTCAACCTTGAAGAATGTTAAAAAAAAAAAAAAATCAACAATGATTAGTGTTAGGTAACAACAAAACGTCTACACACTCAACTAAATTGTCTTGTGCACATTCCATGCTTCTTTTTCTTGTTTCATAAGCATCAACATACTTCTTTTTCTTTTTCACAAGATTCTACATGCTTGTTTTACAGGCATGCCTTCACATTTTTCTTTTTTAACTGGGAAGAATGTTAGAGAGAAATCAACAATGATTAAAGTTAGATCTCAACAATTAGTCTCCACTACATACTAAAATTGCATTCTGCATCTTTAAACTTTTTTTTTATTCACAAGTACCACCATACTTTGAAATCCAAAAATGTAACTGAAACTCTATTAGTTATTGAGCAAAGTAGAAAGAAAGAATATGACAAGAATGATCTTTATCAATGATTACTCACATTATGAGCCACCTTCTCACTTTTTTCTTTTTCTTTTTTTCATTTGTTACTTTTCCATTTAATTAAGGAACTCTCACATTTATATGCTCAAGAAAAAAAAATGACAATACAACATCATATACATTTGCATGGTAAACATATCATAGAGCTCACTGGACCCTACATGTTGAATGAAAAAAGTGACCTGATTCTCATCCAAGGGAAGTGTAATAGGTGTACTTTCTCCACTGAATTGGTCCAATGTACTATCATGAATTAGAGTATGAAAGCATGCAACAAAAATCAGCTTTAGGTCAAATAAACTGGTTTAAGGGAAATCAAGGGGGGAAAATGAAACTAGAAAATAAATGTTTGTATGTAATAGAATTCAATAATGATTTGAGTCATATGATAATCAGTGGAATATCATGTAAATGAAAAATTCACAATTTGCAGTTACCTGAAAACAAAGTATCCATTTGCACGCCTGCATACACAATTGAATTTAACCACATCTCCATTATGTGCTTCCTGTCCTTCCCCTTCAACAATATCTAATTTGAAAACTTGATATGAATACCTATTTATGTACAAAGACTTGTATTGATAGGTTGATTTCTTTCAATTAGAAAGAATCGTAAAATCACTAAAATGCATAAGTTTTCAATGATTTTATCAAGAACCAAGTATGGACATGTTGCTTAATCATACAAATGGGATGTAGGGGAATAAATACACACTCAAATGAAGAGAAAATAAGGTCATTAGCCTTTCCATCAAACAGGAATGAGATTCATAAGTGTGAATCCTTAAAATTATTTTTGCATCAAAATTTCTCCCATACATACATATACTTCATTTTAATGAAGGAATATAGAATATAACAAGGAAGTTTTATAATTCTTTACCTTGAATTCTCACTCCACTCGGTAGCTTCAAAGTCCTAGATGCTTCACATCGAAAATAGTAAATCACAAGTCATAATACACTAACATTTTTCATTTCACAAAAATAAGATTAGGTTAAAAAAAGAAGATGAAAGACAGACAAACCGAATGGCTTCAGGATCCTTCATCTCTGGCATAATTGGTGCAGAGAACGCAGGAGAAGCATACCATATCATGTGATTAATCCCCCAAAGCTGAAGAACCCTCCTTCTTAAAAATCTTTTCACTGCTAATGTGGAGACTTTGTTAGACTCAACATAGCTGAGATTTGCATCCTCGATGCACCTGGATTTATTCGAGGTTTGAAGCACTTGGTAAAAAAAGGATGCTCTTAGGCAACATGATGAAACTTTTTCAATTGAAGTTTTTTGGACAAAACAGAGAAACTCTCTCCTTTACAAGATCACCCCAATCTCGTTGGGTGGTGATCTCTCTAGATTGGGAATGTATTCTCACTTCACACATAATGTTTGGAAATTTTGATTGATTTTTTCAACAAAATTTACCATTTGGCCTCTTTTAATTAACCCTAGCAAACTTAGTTTCATGGTATGTTTAGTTTCTCTTGAAAAAATAATGTCTTGCATTTGGCTTGAAACCAAGTTTCAATTGAAAACAATATCAATATTTTTTTCAAAATGAATTCCATTCAAATTCAAACCTAAGTTTCCAAACTTTAATCGAATGATTCACTTTTAGCATATAATAGAAGATAGAAATTCTATTTACTTCTTTTTGCTGCTAAAATTGGCTTCATTTTCCAAATAGAATATAGCTGAATGTAGTAAAAATTGCCGGGTAAAGTAATTACACCATGATAACGTGCATTACCAGAGAATAATAATAGTAACTAATTACATTTGTGGATAATAAATATAAATACGAGAGCAGTATGTGAATATAATGAGCTTTTCAAGGGTGCAGAGAAAGATGACACAATTGGACATAATTGTTAAGAAAAATGAAACCGTAGAGACATTTCATACCTTGGTGAAGCAGATACAGAAGCAGCACAAGGTGGTGGAACCAACAGAAATGATAAAACTCCCATAGCCAAATTGAAATTTGAGAATTCAGGTTGAGACTTGTGTGGCCACGGAATTTCAATCCCCAAACAGGGCAATATCTCTGTGACGCTATCCAAAAGCAAGCTGCTTGTTGATGGGTATTAAAAAAAGAAAAAAATCCTAATGTTATACTGGTTCTTTTTATTTGATTAAAAAAAGGAGAAAATTTGATTTTTTTTATTTTTTTTAAATTGTCTTTTTCATTTTTCATTTGTTAAAAAAAAATCCATTTTTTAATTACAGAATAATTTTTTTAACTTAATTATATTTTTTATCCATTTAATTTATTTGTGTTAGAGTTTGATTCTACATGTTTAAATCAACTAAGTTTTTATTTCAAAATTAAGTGAATTTTTTTATTTAAAATATTTAATTATTATTTTTATTTAAATATTAATTTATTATGAATTTAAGGTAGATATTTTAAAAAAATAAAGTAAAACTAGACTTTAATAAATATTAAATAATAATTTTTAGATCTTATCATGAATAATTAGAAGTGAAGCCTATATTATATGTATTTTTTACATAATAATTACGTGGTTTATATATATATATGAATGAGTAATGAGATTAAGAAACTAGTATATAAAAATTAATTATAATATAAAAATAAATATATTATATAAAATGTTAAATATTATTAATTGAATTTAAATATTAAAAACTAAAGTTTATTTATTCATTTATTATTTTTTTCTTAAAAAATAAGTTATTAATTTTCTTTTTAGAGATTTTTAAACTGGACTGTTTTTCATATTTTTAGGATTGGGGATTAGGGGTTGAGTTTGGCGTTAGGGGTCGGGGTTTGGTATGTTTTCCTTATCGATGGATAAAGGATTTATGTAGGGTAAAAAATACACCAAAAACCTAAAATACGTTTATCCTCTAGTTATAACTTTCGTTACAGACTTTGAAATCGAGTGTTATCAAAACGAGAGAAATAATAAGATTATGAATCAAGTAGTTTAGGAGATATGAGTATGACTTAATTTGATCCTAAAAAGAAAACAAACAACACAAATGACCTAATTTAAAAATCTCATAGGGAAACAGTTATACAACATAAGATGGTAACCACAAGGCGCCACAAAGTGAAAATTTGATAAGTCATGTTGACCACCACAAGAATTAGAAAAATCCTTAAAAAGATTGTTAGTTCAAGAAAGAACCCTAACAAAGAATATATATTTCACGCTCCATAATACTAAAATAACATTTATTTTTTCACTCAATTTCAAAATTATAAATACAACCAATGAATCAAAGAAATTTTGAAAAAAAAAAATCTCATAATGAAAGTGTGGGGTTGTCGCCGTCGTCCCCTCTCTCTCTTGGAAAAGATGCCTCAGGGCATTTTTAGGAGTCTTCGAGAGGGAAGCGAACTGATGAGCCATTATTTTCCCGCATTTTCTTATCTTTATGTACTTATCTTAATTGGTGCATTGTGTTTAATTGTCTATTATTAGTGCATTTTCATTGATTGGGCTTCATTGGGCCATTATTCCAAATTTTGCTTAATTTAGCATTAATTAGTTTAATTTTCGTTTCTAATTATTTTTAGGTATTTTTGGTGAAACAATTTTGAAGTATGGACATTAATATTGAGATGAAGATAGTTTCCACATCATTGCCATGTCAGTTGCCACGTCACCTGCCATGTCAGTTGCCACGTCACCTGCCATGTCAGTTGCCACGTCACCTGCCATGTCACTGCCACGTCACTTGCCATGTCAGTTGCTATTTCCACATCATATTAATGATTGTCACGTCAGCTATGTTAGAAATGTAGGCTGATCAAGAGGGGGGGTGAATTGATCTTTGAAAGATTTTCGCAATTTATAGATTATCTATTTCAAAGATTAAGATTCCTGACCAGTTCTTGAATCACACACACAGCAAGCAATAAAAAATAAATGCAGTGACAAAATTAAAAGGAGAGAAAGGTTTAGAAAGATACAACCAAGATTTATACTGGTTCACCCAATCCTAGGGCTACGTCCAGTCTCTAGCCAAATTCCAGCTAGGTTCTGTTGAACATTCAAGGACTTGATGTTGCACTTGATGGACATGAAGATTGTTGATTTTGATGATGATTCAAGAACACAAAGACTTAGAGTGTTGAAGACTTGTTTTGTATTGTAATAACTCTGTTTCAATTAGATTGAGTCTGTAATATTAGAGTTTAAGATAGCCGGTATGAAGCACTTGGTGGATTTGATGAAGACATAATATTTTGTAGATATAGTTTAGTTTGTGGGTGTGTAGTTGAATAGGCTAAGTATAGAACTTAATCTCTTGATAGGCCAATATATTTTGTGATAAGCGCCTTAATATGATGCATCTCATTGAAATCATTTTTCTGCATGAAAAACTTACATTTAAGTATTAAAAGAACAATCTAAGTTTTTCAATCTGTTGAAAATGATTTTCAATCTGTTAAAATCACTTAACAGAATAAGTGGTCATACATAGTCGAAATTTTCAATTGATTGAATCACGTAATCAACGAGGTTAAAATCACTTAATGAATTTTTCAATATCAAGGTTTCGCATTTTCAATCTGTTGAAATATTTTTAAATCCATTGAAACGAAAAGACTATTTTTCGATCTAAGAGTTTTCGAGAAAATTAATCTGTTGAAACAGAGAGACTATTTTTCTAACTAAGTATTTGCAGGATTTCAATCTGTTGAAATGATTTTCAATCGATTGAAACAGAGCTATCATTTTTCATAAAACTGTTTCAATCCATTAAAAACTCGAATCAATCGATTGAAATGAAGTTTTAAATGAAATCAATCGATTGAATCGAGCGTTTTAATCGATTGAAATGCATTCTGATCGATCATAGTTTCATTCTGATCGATCATAACTTGGTCTAATCGATCATAATACAGCTTCTAATCGATCAGAATCGATTCTAACCTTGTTTTACTTTGTTTCGATCGATCATTTACCTCTCTGATTCAATTTTTAATTAATGAAACATTCTGATTCTCTGTTTTACTTTATAAATACAGATTTGATCTATCTTTTAAAAATACACACACAACTTGAGAAAACATTTGAAATCAATCTGTGAAGCTTTCATATCCAGTGACTTTCTCGCATTCAAGAACTTTGTAATATCATAAGGTGCTTTGATCAAGATAGTGGTCAATCAAAGAGAGAAAGTACTGTGTTAGAATCTGTTCTGGACAATTTGATTGATAGAGCTGCAGTCCAGGTTTTTTCTTTTCATACTCTTTTGTAAAGTGTATTTGTGCAGGTTGGAATTTGATCTGCACTGAAAGTGATCCTAGCAAAGATCTCATTGATTTGATGAAGTCAAAGATAAAGTCAAGGGTCAACTCTGCAGCAGTCAAACAAGTCACTCAGACATTTGAGCTGAAGATTTAGAGTGTCTAACAGAAAGCTTAGGTAAAACCACTTTACCTTTTCCACTGCATAAAGCTTCTTCACTCATTTTGCAAAATGCCTCAAAAATAGTTTTAAACAAATAAAAAACAAAAGCATTTTGACAAAGAACTTTCTTAATAATGGTTTTAACTGATATTGCTTTGAAAGAAACGATTAAAATCACTTAGAATATTTAAAGAGGTGTTTTTACAGTATTTTAATCGATACAAACTTCTTTTAATCGATTAAAACCCTTTAAAACTCTTTATGACCGATTAGAATTCAAATATGAGCGATCAGAACTCTTTTAATCGATTAAAACACGTTTCAAACGATTAAAACCACTTTGGAAGTCAGGATGATCGATCAGAATGAAGTTATGACAGATCAGAGTTGGTTATGATCGATCAGAATTGAATTATGACCGATCAGACTTATTTCAATCGATTAAAACGAATTTCAATCGATTAAAATGACTTGAAAATTTTTGTACAGAGTTTCAATCGATTAAAACGCATTTCAATCGATTAAAATAACTTGGAAAATTTTTGTACAGAGTTTCAATCGATTAAAACGTATTTCAACCGATTAAAACAACTTGGAAAAATTCTGTGCAGGTTTTTAATCGATTAAAACTTCTTTGTATCAGTTAAAATAACTTGAAAAGTTTTATAAGAAAGTTTTAAAGTAAATCAATCGATTAAAACGCGAATCAATCGATTGAATCACACTTAGAAAATGTTTGAAAAATGTTTTAACTGATATAAACATAGTTGTATCAACTAAAACGATTCTGTTAAAGAAACAAGAACGCATTAATGGGTTGAAAGGACTTTTAACAGATTATAACGGCTATTTCAACAGATTAAAACAAACTTTCAACAGATTAATTAATGCAGCAGATTTGAAAATTCTCTTTAAAAACAGTTTTGCTTGAACTTTTTAAACAGACTTTGAATATCAGTTTTTACACATCCTTAAGCAATCAATCAAGCAACTTTAGCACTTTTTCAAGAAAGATTCGCAACAGTTTTTTTGAAGTTATTTTGAAAATCTTTCTTGAGGCAACTTGCATACTTTGAAGAAGAAACTCTCTGCAGATTTGGATAAACTGGTTTGAGCTTTCTAGTTTCTTCTTTGTAAATTCTTTTTCATTACTTTGTATTGTGTTGTGCCTGGAATTTGGGCACAAGTTTTCTCTCAGTACTGGAAGTTGGTTGTGGAGGTTATCAAGAACTGGAATTTGGTTCTTGGTAAGAGGTTGAGCACGGAGCCGGAATTTGGTTCTTGTGGTTATACTGTGTGGTGCCTGGAATTTGGGTACTTGGGTTCTCTCGTGCTGGAATTTGGTTGCGAGAGGTTTCCAAGAACTGGAATTTGGTTCTTGGTGGAGAGGTTAAGTGCAAGAACTGGAAGTTGGTTCTTGTGTTAGATTAGGTGTAAGATTGTTGAGTCTCGTAAAACATCTATTCTAGTGAAACCCAGCTGGAATTTGGTCGGAGACTGGACGTAGCCCTGGTATTGGGTGAACCAAGTATAAAATACCTAGGTGAAATCTTTCTTAACCTTTCTCTCTTTTATTT